AGCGCGTGCACCCAACCCCTTGCGCCACCGGGCCAGCCCCTCCCAGGACATTTTTTGAGGGGAAATAAAGGATTTTTTTTTTTTCCCTACAGAACTTAAGTGTGTCTGCACCTAACTGGAGCCAAGCACCTAGGAAACCAAACCGCTTCCCTCAATTCTCAAGTGATTAATTATCATTACAGTATAGCCATTTTACATATCTTACGGTAAGACTGAAAACAGCCAGAAAACTAATTAGTTCTTTCCTACAACTCAGACATTGCGTATGAGAGAAAATAAGGGAGACAGGGTCTTGTGTGTGTGTGTGTGTGTGTAAATGTGTATGTGCATATCAAGCCAAAAAGTATCAAAAGCGGTCACAGAACAATGTGGGCAAGAGGGAAGCATAAACCCCAGGACTTCAGTTCTCTGATGAGCAAACACTCCTCAATCCTCAATCCTCATCCAGGTTTCTCAGTCACAACACCACTGACACCTCGGGCCAGACGATTCTGTGTTGTGGGGGCTTGTCCTGTGCACTGTAGGATGTTCAGCAGCATCCCCGGCCTCTACCCACTAGATGCCAGCAGCACAACCTCCCACCTCTAGCTGTAACAGCCAGAAACATCTCCAGACATTGCCACATGTCCCCTGGGGGCAAAATCTCCCCAGTTGAGACCCCGCCTTCACCTCCCTCTGAAAGGAACTTCACCTCCTGCATCAGTGTGAACCTGGCTGCCCCTTGAGTCCTCCTCTTCAGTCCACCCAGACGGAGACATTTATGTCAAATCCCATATGCCGTAGGGACAGGAAGTGGTGGGTGACTTCCTCCTTCCCCAGGAGCACTTTCAAACGACTTGTTCTCCTTCCAAACCGCCAGCTGGATCACCTGCCATCCCTCTCCTCTCCGCCATCCACTAACCTCTTGTCATTCCCTCCCCCCATTCACTAAATCCTTCCCTCCTGACCCCACTGCCCTATTTTCCACCTCTACTCCTGTCATCACTGTCACCGACACTCAGGGAGACAACTCATCCCAGACCTTGAATCCTTGCCTCCAGTCAGTGTTTCCTCCCCCGCTGCTAGTGACCCACTCCCATGTCACTATCAAGACCAGCACCCCCTCCACAAGCCCAATGTCACAGTTGACTCCAGCCCTCCAGTGGCCACCTGTCCCCTCAGAGTAAAATCAGACTCCTCACATGACTAAGGAGGCCCCTCCCCACCCCCTGCCCTCACTCCTCCCTCACTCTGCTCTCGCCTACTGGCTTCTCCTCCTCAAACACTCTGAGCTCCCTGTCCCCTCGCGGCCTTCCGACTAGGACGCTCTTCCCCAGTGACTGCACGACTCTCCCCCTTTCATTTCATTCAAGTCTCTGCTCAGTTGTCACCTCCACCGAGAGCACCTCCTGACCACCTTTCTAACACAGCACACCTGTCACTTTTCCCATCGTTCCCCTCTCTTCTTCAGAGAGCTTGGCCCTGGAGTTTATGTGAGTCTGTGGTCTGTCTCCTCCCCATGGAATGTAGGCGCCATTTTTGCAGACTCTGCCATTCGGTCACCACCTTTTACCCAGGACCTCAAGGAGGGCCTGGCACAGAGTAGGTGATCAACTAATTTTTGATCATAGAGGAATCAATATATGTACAAATGCCTGGAAGGAACATCTAATTCCTGGCCACTACCTTCTATCCTTTCAGCTCTTACTCTAGAGCCCTCTCTAAATCTCCATCCTCCACACTGCCCTTGAATCAGTCATTCCCACCCCTGCGGCATGGTCCATCGTTCCTTCCTCACGAGCCTGCATTCCACGTTCCACCACTACAATCAAATCCCTGAACACTTCAGCTCCCTCGGCCCCCTCCCTCCATCATGTCGGCCTGGTAAAACCACAACTCGTTCCCGTCTAGCCATCCATCTTCTCTTTGCCTGCACCTGAGCACCTCAACACTGTGACAAAGAGACACACGTGTGGCCTGTGTTCACTTGAAGATCATGACGTAAACCTCATTAAGCCCAACTCTGCTCTGCATTCTCATCTGAGCTTCCAGTCACCAGTACAACTTTATACACCTTCTCCCCCCTTATCCCACTCTTTCAATGATGAGATGATGATCTTCTCAAATACTTTATTGAGACAATGGAAGAATCCAGGACAAACTGCAGATACACAAAACGCCCACCCCTGCACCTTCTCTGCCTTCCTCCTCGCAGAGGACACAGGCCCTGCTCCAGACAAGAGCAAGCAAGCTCTTCCCCGTGTGTTGGGATCAAATTCCTTGTTACATGCTCAGGACTTCACCTCTGTAACTGGTCCTTCTCTCTCTCTCCTGAATCATGAACATTTCCTTCTTTACTGGACATTTCCAGAATCACACAAAACATGCTTCATTAAAAATAATCTCCCTTGAGCCCACACCACTCCTCACCCCCAGGCACGGCCCCATTTCTCAGTTTCCTTCCACGACAAAACGACCAGCCAGAATCGCCTACACCAGCTCCCTCCAGCCCCTCACTCCTGGCTCAGCCACTCTGATTGGAGAAGTCTAACTTGGAAGTTGAATTTGACTTCGTCCCCACAATGCAACAGAAACTGGTAGCCAACACAGTAGAATAAAATTTCTGTCCTCATCTCACTCAATTT